TGAGGCTGTTCCCCTCTTTCAGGCATTCTTTCCTGACACGACTTGAGTTTATTCCAAAGACGAAGTGATCACGTAGAAACCTCTCGTGTAGGTCTGCTGGGTAGTTTGCTTCCTTGATGTGGTTCCTTATTTTGGTTATGAATTCCTYTATTGACATAGTTCCTTGTTTAAGTTCGTGCAACTCCCACGCCGACATAAGCTCGTTTGACTGTGGTTTAAGGGCGTTTTCGAAGTTGGTCCAGTACGATTTAAGAGATTTTTCAKCGTCCGCCGATAGACCCCAACTGTTGAAGAGCTCGAGTCCACGCTCACCAGCCCAATACATGAGGTATTTACATTGTATTTTTTCTTCAACTTCGACCAAGGGACCGGTGAAAAGTAGCTCACACTGCTGTTTCCATAGTTTATATCGGCTGTAAAGCCCTTCGTTTGAAGACCAGTCCATCGTTGGACCTTTTAGCAAGCCTGTACTGCCCGCCATTTTGACGACTGTCGATGTCGTGTGTTTGTAATTGTTTCACCTCGATTGTCTTGCAAAATTCAGGTGGAGGCGTCGGAATATTCAATGCTCATTAAAAATTCCAAAACGAACGTTATGACCATATTTGGAAAATTCGCCGTTGGATAAGAGTTTAACTCGTTCTGGTTGGCTATAGGGTAAATTTAATTGTTCCAAATAAGGTCAAATTAGGAATCAGATGCAAATTAGATCTTAAGAGTGGATGCCGGTAAGAATCAAACATTTTCAAAAATCGTGCCAACTCTTGAAAAATCGATTTCGCTCACACTCTGAATTTAGGTACCCTATTATATAAGATAAACAACCATGTATTTGGTTTTTGAAAATAACGTTTTATTTATGAGTAAATTGAAKTTTCGTGGAACGATGTAAATATGCTAATTTTCGAGCTATGAAATGGCGATAAACTGATGGCCTCGTTTGGTTAATGCATCAATGTTTCATGCTTAAAACATTTATAAGATAAAAATATCACCCATTTTCTTTCATTTGGGCGAGTTTTTAACTTGTGGCTTATATCTAAAATTTCTGGCGAATTTTTATAAATGACACCTGTTTTTGATCGCTAAAACTACTATCAAAATAGCCGTCGATTTGACAAAGACCGATATGATCAAATCAAATGATCTTTGCAGGATAAAATGTCAAGGAAGAGTTCTTTCGATCTATGTAAAAATATCGTTGGGTAAATGTGTTTATGCTTCGCTAGAACCGACCAAAATTACCGAAATATTCATATTTTCAACAGGTGTGAAACCAACAAGTTGATAAACACAACAGAATAGATCGCTTTATGTTGTGTTTCATACCAAAGAGCAGGCATAAAACTAAACTAAACATTTACCTTATGTTTATCTCGAGAATTTTTGTGTTTTGAGACGTTCTAATCACTTTTAATAATCAGGCCATACTTGATCTTCTGTTGGGCTTCCTGTGGTTAATTAGGCGCTCTAAGTTATTTTTTAACTCTTATCGTAAAACTTTATTTGTTGTTTATCTGTTTTATTAAGAGATTTTCATAGAACTTTGCCTTAGCTAAAATTTGTTTTTGTACATACTAAAAAGGAATAATTTCAGCAAAACAAAAAGAATTGTAGCAATTCAAAATTTGATTGGCACTTATGAGTAATTGATTTCCTTTATGCCCGCGCACACGGCCGCCGAACTGCGTTTTAGAAAATTTGTTTAGAACACTGGGTGGGGGAGTGGGAGGAGGGTACTCCCCCCAAACTGTCGCTGGGACATCAAAACCCTGATCCTGTTCCAGAGTAAAATCACTGAAAACTATACCCTGTTCCAGAGTAAAATCACTGAAAACTATACCCTGTTCCAGAGTAAAATCGCTGAAAACTATACCCTGTTCCAGAGTAAAATCGCTGAAAACGATACCCTGTTCCAGAGTAAAATCGCTGAAAACTATACCCTGTTCCAGTCAGAGTAAAATCGCTGAAAACAATATCCTGTTCCAGAGAAAATATTGTACTAGCTTGCGTGTAGACCGAATTTTTACCCCGTGAATTTTTACCCAGCATCAATAATTCCGGAATTAAAGCCTGACACTGTTTCAGAGAAAATTCGTTGAATCGATAGCCTGTTCCAGAGTGAAATCGCTAAAAACGATACCCTGGTTGGCGGCATGTCCTTGTATAGCGAATATAGGGGAGTACCCCCCCTCCCCCCACTCCTCCTCCTTCCCCTCCCCCCCGGGTTTCAGAACCTTGAATGCCGTCTTGTGCTTCGAAATGTTTTACTGTTCGAAAGCAATGGCATTATTTGTTTTTCATTAGCTCGCTTAAAAGCACAATTTCCTCCAACGAGGGATCTAAATGAACAACAAACGTCCATGTCGATAGTACTGTCTTGTAAACAAATTCTCCAAAACGTAGTTTTGATTGTACACAGAACGGCGGCCGCGCGCGAAGGCAAAGTTCTATGAAAATCTCTTAATAAAACAGATAAACAACAAATAAAGTTTTACGATAAAAGTTAAAAATAGCATCACTTTGGGCACCTAATTAATCACAGGAAGCCCAACAGAAGATCAAGTATGGCCTGATTAAAAGTGATTAGAACGTCTCAAAACACAAAAATTCTCGAGATAAACACAAGGTAAATGTTTAGTTTAGTTTATGCTTGCTCTTGGGTACGAAACACAACATAAAGCGATCTATTTTGTTGACGTGTTTTACTGTTTATCAACTTGTTGGTTTCACACCTGTTGAAAATATGAATATTTCGGTAACTTTGGTCGGTTCTAGCGAAGCATAAACACATTTACCCAACGATATTTTTACATAGATCGAAAGAACTCTTCCTTGACATTTTATCCTGCAAAGATCATTTGATTTGATCATATCGGTCTTTGTCAAATCGACGGCTATTTTGATAGTAGTTTTAACGATCAAAAACAGGTGTCATTTATAAAAATTTGCCAGAAATTTTAGATATAAGCCACAAGTTTAAAACTCGCCCAAATGAAAGAAAATGGGTGATATTTTTATCTTATAAATGTTTTAAGCATGAAACATTGCTGCATTAACCAAACGAGGCCATCAGTTTATCGCCATTTCATAGCTCGAAAATTAGCATATTTAMATCGTTCCACGAAACTTCAATTTACTCATAAATGAAACGTTATTTTCAAAAACCAAATACATGGTTGTTTATCTTATATAATAGGGTACCTAAGTTCAGAGTATGAGCGAAATCGATTTTTCAAGAGTTGGCACGTTATGTTTGATTTTTACTGACATCCGCTCGGTTGGCACACGGCGTTACACGTTTCAAGTCCCTTATAGACCCCTTGCAGTTCATGGGAATGCAGCTCCAACTGGAGGACAAAACAATAGATTCTAGTTCCCAAGAGGATAAAAATCTTTTGTTTTGTCCTCCAGATGAAGCTGTTTTGACGTCASATGCAAGGGGTCTATAGGTTTTTGATATTACTTATATGTACACTCGGAAAGGGAGCGAATCTTCGAAGTGCTCAAAATCACTCCAGAGACTTACTCACCGACATKTTCTTTAATAATCATTCTAACTTTTTGAGAGATTTCTGAGAATCATTTACAGTTTTTCAGTGTTTTAGAAGGCATTATTTCGAGCCTACTTTGAAACTAATTAAAATTCAAAATTGATTAGCGGTCTAACGCATTACGTCATTGTCCTCTGATAATACGTTTGGGCTACCTGTGCAATAACCAATTATGGCATAACTCCATACTGAGGGGACTTTCCCGCTCAGGATTACCTTGGCTTGCTTATAAAAATCGATAATAGTGATATTTGAACATTCTCTAATTATTCTGTCAATTCAATATTGATTTAAAATTTAAAATTTAAAATTGCTGGACATTTAAGAACTAGTGGTAATCCAAAACTATTTTTCTTGGTAATTTAAAACTACTGGTACATGACCAACTGTTGACAAATCAATTTAAACTTTTGCAAGATCACTTATTAAATGATTAACTAAATGTCAGGGTGACGTAGTCGAACATACTCTCCCGCCTACAATCGTTGACTAAAAATCCTTGGAACAATCCAGCGAATTTCCTCATTTTAAGCAACACCTACAAACAATTTCATCCCCCCCCCCCCCCCCCCCCCCCCCCCCCCTGGCCCCCTAAATGCATTGTTGTCATTGAGCATGTTACCATTCACGACTTTCCATTCTCAGGTTCAGTGACCACGAACAAAGCATTGAAACGAGGCGTTAAGGTACAGTGAGCATAAAAGAAATGATCTGTGATCAGTGTTCCTTGACGCCTCGGTTCAATGCTTTGTCCGTGGTCACTCAACCTGAGTATGGCGAAGTCGTGAATAGTATACAGCCATCCAAAACAAGACCCAACATTGATAAAAGTAAATAAAGGAGACAAAATAAAGGAGAAAAATGTTAGTCTGGAGACAAATAATTCGGGTTTTTTTGGCAACGATTGTCTGAGAAGATTGAATGATATCCATGTTTTCACATCTTCAGGGATATACTGTGCATAACGTGATAACGCATCTTTTGATTCTGCCTCTATAATTGAAATAGTCGACATCTTGACTTTGAAATGGCGTCATTTAAGAAATAATTAAGCATTTTTTCCGTGCCGGTCGAGTGTCGAGTGCTTCACGTCTACGTTTTCTTTGAACTGGAGTTCTCATTGTAAGATCGCTTTCTTGGTCCATCTGTGGCAGATTTTCCAACCTACCAAGGTAATATTGGCAATATTTGACAACCAAAGAATGCAATCGGCCCGATATTTTGCATTTAGGTGCGGGACGTTTTGCTAGGACAACATATTTTGACGCTAAATTGAGATGGAAATCAGTGTTTCCTGCGGTCCTTCAAACGCAAATTTTGGCATTTATTTCAAAGCAGAGTACTRTTTTGTGCCTTTCTTCCTCGTTGCAAAATTCTTTCAACTGTAAGATCTAAGTTTCAAGGGAAATTCGGGAAAGACAGGGCCGTAGCTAGTAAGAGGCCAACCGAGGCACTCGCCTCGGTAAAATTTTGCCGATGCTTTTTGTTCTTCATCACTAATATTATCTTAGCCTCTCAGAGCCAATTTCGCACGACTGATTTTAAGCAAAAAATGTAAAAACAATGTTATTTTTGTACCGAATTTTGTACGCGGTGTAGCTTCGTTGTTTCATAAGTATTGCATGATGAATTCCGTTTAAACCTGTGTTCAATAAAGAGTTACCAAAAGGCCCACAAAACGCTGCAACTTGCATTTACGAGAGACTGAATTTCAAATTTTCTAGGGGGAGAATGCCCCCAGACCTCCCTAGTTTCTCCGCCATCGGCGGTCGCTTGCCTCGGTTGTCCGTTTACTCTGGCTACGACCCTGAAAAAGTTAATAATTCATAATGTAGACGCAATGGAAAATTATTGCCGTGAATTCATCTTTATGAGCAAGAGATTTGTCCTCTTTATCTTCGAGTTGATGATTTTTGTTTGTATATTTTTTCTGGTGTAGGTATGTTACGTCAGGATCTATTCGTGCTACGACTGATCGGTAGAATACCTGTTAATAGAAAACGCATTATTCTTCTTATATGCGTTTTATGTGGGATTAATGTTTGGATCATCACTTATCGACTGGATCATACTGAATCCAGTACCCAAAGCAGTCGTCCTTTGGATGTACCGACGACCAACGCATCATTACACGTTAAGACCACACTGCCTACTCCAGCTTGTCATCATGTACAGCCTACAATTGCTAGACCTCGAGAGCATGCTATACCGCCTTGCTATCGTGGTCAAGAGAAGCGATCGCAAATGTACAATCCATCGACGACGTTCASCGATGGAACGAATTTCCCTATCATCACACCACACATTAAACCCAACATTTCAGACAAAAACTTCTATTTAGTGGTCGTTGTCAACTCTCATCCAGGAAACGCAGCTCATCGATTGCTGAGAAAGGCAATACGCGAATCTTGGGGGAAAGACACAGAAAACAATTGTACTATCAAATGGAGGTTGTTTTTCTCTCTAGGACTGAGCACAGATAACAACTCAAACGAGTACAACCACCTTGAGGCCATAAAGCATAATGATGTTATCATTGGTCAATTTAAAGATATTTATACTAATATTGCAATCAAAACTGTCATGGCGCATTGGTGGGCGTTTAATACATTTTCTTGTCGTTACGTCCTGAAAACTGACGATGACGTGTATGTTCGCGTTAATAAGCTTGTACACTGGTTGTATAATAGAGGATCGCCTGGATGGTTTTTCGGTGGACTTATCCACCCTGAACGGGGAATTGTTCGTGATCCGAACAGTAAATGGGGTAAATGGCATATTTCAAGGGAACAATTCAACGAGTCTCTTTGGCCTCCGTTCTGTTATGGAGCATTTCATGTGCTTTCTACCGATGTCCTGCCGGTATTTTTCTACTACACTCAGCTTCGTAAACCGTTTCATACAGACGATGCATACATAGGTGTAGCAGCACGAGACTTAGGAATTCAAATCTCGCAGTTACCTGGTTTCACAATGGAAATACCAAGAACTGACTGTCAGTTTCGGGATAAAATAGCTATTGGACATGACATAAGCCCGACTAAGATGATAGAGATACACAAGACTTATGAATTTCTAGCTCTCAAAAAGAACATTACATGCTAGGTACATACTTCAAGCTTGCTAGGATTAAGAGGACCAGCTAGTTTCTTTTTTTATTTATTTATTTTTTAGTGTTATTCTAGCTATGCGTTGTTTGACCTTGTTTAGTTTTTTTGTTTTTTGTTTGTTTGTTTGTTTGTTTGTTTTTTTTTTGTTTTTTTTTTTTTTTGGGGGGGGGGGGGGTTACTGTCAACTTTCCTGTCATTCCTTCATTTGAACATATTTTTTGACCACACCTCTGATTTTCACTGTTTAACTTACGGTTAAATTTCTTGTAAACGGACACCCTCCGGAAAGGGAAAACGGTGTGTTTTTTTTTTTTTCGGTAGAGCTGTTACCATATGAGAAACAGTTTGTTTATTGGAAGAATAAATCAAGCAGCCAATGGCAGCATAACTCGAAGATTGATACAGAACGATACATGTACGATGAATCAAATTATAATTACTTAACAATTAGAATTTTAAGAAAACGATATCAGGATATATGAAATTTCGTTAAAATCCTCTTTTAATTTCGGTTGTGGATAAGCACGGCGAGAGACGGCGAAATAAATCCCAGTCTTAGCCACATTTTTATCGATTTTGACATCGTAGCTCAGTGGTTAAAACATAGGCGTATTGACCAAGTGGTCACGATTTGAATCCCAAGGGATAACATATACTTTTTTTCTTTCTTTCTTTCTTTTTTTTTTTTTGTTTTTTTTGTTCTAGGTTCCAGGTTCAGATCCCAGATGACCCATATTTCTTTGATTTCTTTATTTACCAAAAAATAAATGAATTCAATAAGCTATAGCACAGGAAAACCAGTTAAGAAAAATTAGTGAATAAATTACTATAAAATAATAATATGATAAATAATTGTGAACACAAGTATGGCAGGCTCAAGTTTACAGGAAAGTGATCGAGCGAGCGAGCGAGTGACAGCTTGTCCCCTCTCAATAACTCTACGATTGCTACCGCAATCTCCGAGTTAAAAACAACATGGGGATTTTGGAAGCCGCTCATAACTAGAGCTGATATAGAAATGAAAGAAAATTGTAGTGCTTAGAATGAGGCAATTCAGGGAGAAAGACCCTTAGGAATACATTCGGAAAAATTAATTTCCGACTTCGCTGGGATTCGAACCCACGACCTATCGATTTATCGAATCCCGGTTAGGTCGGAAATTAATTTTTCCGAATTTATTCCTATTTTCTCCCGGAATTGCCTCCTTCTAAGCACTATAACTTTCTTTAATTTCTATATCTGTTCTATCAAAGTGCCATGCGGTCCTCATATTCATAACTAGAGCTGTCCGCTTACGAGCAAAAGTGGAGAAAAAATTATGATATTTTCTTGCGGTATGTCGTCTTATTTATCACGGTAGACTGGGTGACATTAAATCGTCAAAATCGTTATTCATCCGCAATTCTCCAGGCCATCTACTTAATTAAGTACCTATTGACGGACTTGGTTCAAACTCCATTTTGTTTCAGATATTGGTGGACATGCTTAACCGTATCCCTCAATGAGATTATAGTGAGGACCCTTATTKCTTGAACCCTTCACAGCCCTCAGCAGCGTCCGACACTCTTCACTCAGGATTGTGTCAATGGGGKCAYCTAAAAGTCAGTTAACTACACAGTTTTGGTTCAAAAGTCAATTAGATAGATAGATAGATAAACCTTTATTAACTTATACCGCTCAGGGTAGCTCCATCAGATGCAAAAAGCAATCTGTTATCAATGGGAGCCCTGAGCATAACAATATAAACTACAATATAATATATATATGCATTGTACATTATAAGTATCACTAGAAATATGATGATAGATAGAAAATATTAATGGTAAAAAGATATTTGCATAAATACTAAATTCTATTTGGATAATTCATTAAAAAGAGTGMAACCATAGTAGTAAAAAGATCTTTTTGCGATCTCGGTCCTCACAGCAGGTGGATGTAAAAAATTGCTTTGTCTAGTAGCACGCGCATGGATTGCACTATTACGCTTAAAATACTCTTTAAAGTATTGGGGACAGTAATCCAACAGAGATCACTTCAGGAGTAGAAGTAACGCCTTGAAACTCAACAGCTTGGGTGCGGTCTGGCAGATAATCCGTAAACCAATCAAGCTCTTTATTCAAAATCCCCAAATTGGAAAGCTTGTCCAGAAGTACAGCATGGTCCACCGTATCAAAAGCTTTGCGAAGGTCAATAAATACAGCGCCAGTTAATTGACCTTGGTCCATATTTCTGCGAATATTATCAGAAAAACTAAGAGCAGCAAATTCTGTA